TGGCATTTGCACCAACGAGAGCTGCAGTTCTAATTAATTCTCAGGAACGAAGTTCCGTTTGCAGCGACAAGGGTAGCAACGACAGAGTGAAAGAGTATCTGGAGCTTTCGAGGGCGGTTACTCCGCAACCACGTCCAAGACGACATTCCTCTACATGACCTTGTCATTATTTTGTATGCAAGGGTTGTGGGTATTAATGTGAGCTTAATAACAGTGAAGGATTTTAAAATCTTGTCTCAAACAAGATTGATGCGTCTTGCAGTTCGCGACTACGAGAACGTGATGCTGTCATGTCTGGTGACGGGCTCTGGGAACGTATCCATTGATCCACTGCCAATCGGTGGTTGTCAGAAATTCCCAATTAATTTTAAATCCCATATTCGCCGCCAAGGTCTGACACAACAATGATTTCAAACGTATTTATTTATTATTAGCTTTGTACTCTGGCTGAGCAAATACTAGATCTAGTTAGGGATGTAATTTTCAAAATATTTACATTCGTCAGATGTCTTTTATAGGTCTCAGAATTAATGTTACAATCTTCTAGAGTTTGTAGAGGGATCGAAAAATACCATATTTTACCTATGAAGTTATGGTAGGAAATTTCATGTTACTAAGTTACAAATTAGATATTTTCCTCTGCTAGGCAGCATCTCATGCAGAAGCTTAAGTATACAGCGGAAGCTTACGTATACAGCATCTCATGCATTTGTGTGTGGTGAAATAATATTTCGGTTCTACAATTAGGAAACCGAAAAATTAAGAAAATTTCAAAAAAATGTTCTTTGGGCAGCGATAGATTGCAGCTGACAATAGTATGTGGCAAGTCCGAGTAGCTAAACGAAACCAAAGGAAATAGAAAAATAATACGAGAAATGTGTCATTCTGTTCCACTAGTTTTCTTTAGTTTATTTTTTCAGCTTCCTTTCTCTTTCATTTTATCACACATTATCAATTTTAATTTGTATTTTAACGTATTGACATGCTACATGCTATTTGTATTTGTAACGCATGACATCCCTAACATGCTAAGTTAATCATTTAAGATTTAAGTTCATAATATCAAATTATTGTGCTCTTGCAAATATATCTATTTATTATTTACTGTTAATTTACGTCTAGGAAATAATATCAAAATAATCTTTAGTAATATATGCTTCAAACTGTAAAACACGTTTTATATATGAATACATGAACCGTGATCATAACATTAACAAACATCTAAAACTGGCATATCTATGTTTATTCTAACAGTTCAGTAACAGGATGATTCAGCTGAAATAATCATACCATAGTAATCTTAAAGGAGTATGGTGACATATACGTCTGCTACTAGGTGTACCATCTTTCCAACTGTTGTTGATGACTGACACATTCTGTCCTTAAGCACTAAAAGTTGATGAACGTAGCTAGAGATGTATTCGCAAGTAATCATATTTAAATCAATTCTCATTCAAGTTGTATTTCCCAGATCGTATGCTACAAATATATTATTGGTACTACATACATTACATATTAATAAAAATGTTATCGCCATCCAAACATTCAAAAGTCTGAACAATGAGTTTCCCTTATTGTCAAAGACAGACCTTGGTTTTTTTCTTACATTCTGTGAATATCTACCGTTTCTAATTTTGCATCGTTATTATCATTTCTACCGCTAGAAAATGCAAGTCATCTCTTCATTAGTGGTTTGATATTCCTATAGTCAAAACTAATTTGTCCACAAATGGGAATACTATACGCCCGTCTTATACATTAGAAAACATTACGGTGAGCACTTGATGTTTGGTGGGGTTCTGAATTGCTGTTGTCATTTTTAACACGTGTTGTTCTAGCAGCACAATGGCAGTCAAATGAACTCCAAAGAAAGAATGTGGGAGAAGTGTTTTATAGGGCAAACCTTCTGAAAAAAATGCAGATATTTGAAGACACGTGATATATGATATCGCAGATACCCTTTCGAATGCGCTTCTTGTCCGGCATATTATTGCGAAATTATTGTGGTTATGGGCGCTGGACACTGGCGTCACAGCAGGCCATTATGCATATTACGACTAAGGTACTATACAAGGTTCTATACTAAGGTACAATATAAGCGATGCATCTTTACAGACATGCCTTGTTTATCTTCGTGCCTGAAGCAGCATGACAGCCCATCAAATGATAACGACACAAGACGCCCATTAATGCAACTCATTTCTTCTTCTACCGTCCACAAATGCCTCCCATCACTTTATTTCTACCTCTCCACTCTTCACAACTACAATCAATAACACTCATTTCTGGAACTCCACCATAATCGCTTCATAACTCGACATTAAAGGCTCACGCGCAGTAGCGCTGTGCCCCTTCCCCCCCTCTCGGATCAGCCGTAAGCGCTCCGTGCCCCTTCCTATCCGTTGCCCACTGCAAGCATTGAAGCTACCGCCACGGTCCCCGCCGCCCGGTGGTTGATTTCCAGAATCTAGCGGTATTTAAATCATAAACTGCATATGCTCGAAACGAATGAAAACCTTCCTAATAGTCTTGTCAGGACTGTACCATTCCCCGTAAGTGCAACATTCATTTCTCAGAAGAACGGGAGAGTATGTTCAGCGAGCCGCTCGCGCAGCCGTGCCTAAGTGCTGATTTGACGCGCTTGGTGTTATGGCCCACTGCCACTGAATTTTTAAGGATAACCTGATCTTTCGATATGGACGCGAATCCGGAAGGTATGTACTTTAGAATGGACTAACGTGTAATAGAAAAGTTTACATTTTTAGTTGTATTTTGTATGCGAAAGTATCACCATGTATTTGAGACAGGTTTCTTAGTGATCGGGAATTTAAACTGTGTTACCTTGTGTTGCCAACAATTGCTGAGAATGCTCTTTGCACGATTGTATTCTCTAAACATTCTGAAACAAATATGGTAGAAAACATGTTTGCCTAAATTCGACCCTCTCCGAAAAAACCGACTTTTTTAGATGCTTCCACGGTCACTCAAGCTATTGGAGGGTAAACTCTCTCATTCAACAGATTTACGGAATAGAAAAATTCGAATGCAGTATTTTCCCCTAATTTTCTTGGAAGTATTCCAGAGGCAGTATTAAGTGAGAAAACATGGAGATTGATAACCTGGCAATCCTTACCCAGACTCGAGGGCAATGAATATTATATTTCGTCCCTACATTACAACATAATGGAAAACGGTACAAGAAATAATTCTGAGCATTTTCAACAGCGTCGGCTTTACCGTTCTCTTGATAATATTTTAATACCGCTGGATGAAGGCAATCGACCACTGTGCTCCGCCTCCTTCGCCGCCGCCACCTCCACAGCCTCTGAGCGTGCGTTAGCATGGCGGGCATGCGCATTACACTCTTACGTTATGCATTATGTTTTTCAAAGAATCTTCATCCATTAATGGATAATGAATGAAAACTGAGCGCCGTCCCGCTACGCATACTAAAAGCCCTCTGGCATAGGCGGTTACTTCATCTGTTTCCAGTTCAAGTGATCAAACTCCGGATACGAGAAGTGGCGTACTAGGATATGAATATATCGGATATATCAATTTTCGGTTATATAACTTTTGACACCGAATGCTCGTATATGTGAATTTATCAGTTAATGTAAACGATCTTGTAAGATACGAGAAACTTGTTTCGATAATGACTCTCGTATTTTCCAGTCCAAAACTTAACTGTCTCCGCAGTCTGATGACGCATTTCAGAAAATCTAGTAATATGTTTATCTGCTCTAATTAGGATAAATGTACAATTAAACAGTTATTCCATTTTAGGCACATTGTGCCACTCAAATTGGAATTTTACAGTAATTCAAACAATCCATTTTTGCTTTATAAACAGGAAATTATATTAATAAGAACTTGAATGAGTCATTTATGAACCATATAATTTACTTAAAAGTGTTTAGATGCCTTGGAAAACATTATATTCTTGAACTTGAACACAAGAAGAATAATTAAAAATATGTATCTATTTCTGTTCTTTTAATTCCATTCTCATATCACAGAATTTTGGCATGTTTTTCTCCTCTTTAAGTTCCGTAATTTTTCCTCTTCATGAGACCAATTAGATCTAAAAGCACTTTGAAGTGTGACGATAAGAAAGAGCGCCGCTCATTCCAGACACTTCCATTATCCCTTCAAAAAGTATTACAAATGTTATTAAAATGTAATTATTAGAAACCTTGTAGTTTTAATCACAATTACATCGTAAGCTATTAAGGATTCGGCATTTGCACGTTGTTCTTTCTAGAAATACCTTGACGTGTCTAAGACAGTGAAAAGTCTCCTTGTTTCCTCCTTGATGCAGATGATTAAAGACTTATTCAACACCTAAGTTGATCTGCCTATCTCATCTACAGAAACAAGACGAGCAACAAGTAGCTGACAACTGAAGTACAACTCGTCCCACGGAGAATTCATCAACAAGATGTAAATTACCTTGAGCTACTTATTTGTAATGATTCTTTGAGATGAAGTGATGCAAAGTTATTAGATGAGTTTGCAGCATAGAATCATATCGTTTGCGTAATTGTCCGTTTGCATGTTACGTAACGAGCACTTTGGCGAAGCAACGAGATGTCCTCTCAGTGTCTCATCTCCTCAATTTGAGCTTTTATGATATATATTCTTGTACCGAAAACAACTACACCTTTCGAGATTACATTAAAATATGGTGAATGATGACATAATACTGCATAGAGAGCTTATAATGTATAGAAAAGAAAATCTGATATTGTCACAATATTTTTTTCTTTATCTTGGTGGAAGCTCTTTTCGACTATGTACACCACCGCAACAATAAGCAACTACGAATGTCTCACGGTTTTATAATTATACTATTGTCAATTCTGGTTGTAAAAATACTATAGTAGATTAATGTAAATGAGTATTTCTAAATCGTTTTAATTTACTATAATATTTTAGCCTACTTCAGTTTGTTTTGGATATTCTCAAACCCTTTTCCATTCATTGCCTTTTCCATACAGTTTTGGATATGCTACAAATATCTTTAAAAGGAAGAAAAAGACAAAGTTGGTGATTCTAGTGTATCATGTCTATCTACTTCGAAGACATCAGGAGGACGTCCTTGATATGAACCGCAATTCAACTAAGAAAACAAGTAAAAGAGAACCACTACATGGAAGAAAATCCCTAAAAAGGTTATCCGAGGTAGAGTGGTGCTTCGTGGTTACAGTAAGTTTCGCAAGGTGAACACCCAATGACGAAATTAGGAAAGTAGATCACCTCCAAATTATTACTTCTCTTCTTTACTAGTTAAAATATTACACACCCAAAATCCATGCTTATTACAATACTAGGAATGATGTTTTGTACTAGCTGGATTTCTACAATTTGTACGTTCGGAAGATCACCAAAAATGCCCGCAAAATAAATATAGTTTGTCATCGTGAAAGTTTACGTTGCAAATCATTGTTACGTACAAAATATTATTAATCATGTACGTTGCAAATCATTATTAACTGTAAACCAGACAATAATTATTAGGCGCGCAATATTGTCGTAATTCGTTCAGATAAAAAGTGTTCGGACAAGAGAGCAAACACTTTGCCGCAATATTTCTTACGGCTATGTAATATTATAATGTCAAACTTTCTGTCTTCTTTACACTTCAGCCATCACGTGAAAAAATCTTAAACGTGCGTGAAATCCTTATATCGAGTCCTGCCGACCGTCCGTCAGTTCTTCACTCACAAAATCATTGCACAGTTATGACTACTCTAGAAATACAAACTCCCCAACAAAATTTTCTACAATAAGCACAAAATCACACATCTTTTCAATAAACGTAAAGAATTTACCAATAATATGGAGGCATTTGGTGTGATTTATAAATTACCTTGTAGTGACTGCTCCAAAGTTTAGATAGGAGAAACGAAACACTATCAAAGGATAAACCAATAAATATATTAGAAAAGATCTTTCCCTAGACACCTCCCTTACGAAACATAGAAGAGAGATTAATCATAAAATTGATTTTAATAATATTCCAATGTTGGCTTGGAGAAATCCGTAAAAAAAGATATACCTTAGAAATTATTGTTGAAAAACGTTATAATCAGTCCATGAACACTAAATATTACACTACCAACCTCAGTGCGGTCTATTAATAATTTGCAGACAAATGTTAACCATACTGCTCTCTTTTTACTCCTTTCGTCCACTATTGGATTTCCGATCCATTTTGAGGTTATATATTATGACTAGGGAGCATATTTTAATAAAATGTATTTTTTTCTTTTACTTTAGAACGATGCTGTACAGAAATTCATTTTATTAGTAGCGCCAATTCAATTTCTTCGCTTATATAATGAAATGTAAGCTACTATGAACACTATTTTATCTAAGGTTCCTGTGACTCCTATGGGTGCTACTGCCAGTTCGGCCGATTTCGCAATAAAGGTAGAGAGTTTCTTGTAAAGAACAATCCGAACCAAAAGTTACCTAGCTAAGTTCACTTGAACAAAAAAACCTGGATTACATTAGTAATATCCAAGAGCTTAAGTTGTTCATCTGAAGTGGTTTTGATTTTTTTCGTTATTTTTCTTTGTTTTTAGGGCAATTAAAAATATTTTATGAGCATTATTTGAAGATCTAATTTTAAAGAACATATTTCATTTAGTAAAAAAATGTAGTATTGCAATGTTCACTTTTCCAATGTTCGAAAATTCAGAGATCACCGAAAAAAGGACCTAACCCAATTTTTTAATTGTACTTTGTTCTGTTCCAGGAAAAATGTAGAGAAAAATCCTGCAGCTGCATATTCGTTTGTTTTGAATTGCCTCTTAATACAAACAAAATTAACGCGCAATCTACTGGTCTTCTCAAGACATTATAAATGACCTCAATTTAAATTGTTTTTAGAACGTGATTTATTAAGAAAATATCTCTATCATCAATTTTGTATTTTTGCAAAGTGATATTTTTACAGTTTTCGATAACACAGAGAATTACCAAAAATGGAAAAAACATTAATTGCCTGCTTGTAAATTGTAACCTTGTAAATTTTGTATTTATAATTTTATAAATCTATAAATAGTTTTTATTTATTGGCCACCAATTTTTATCTCGTCATTTCAATACTGTCTCTAAATTATATAAGAAGTATGCGAAAATATAAAAATATTTCAGGCAGGACACCGACTTCATCTTTAAATAGTGCGATCCTTTGATGCTTCTAAAATATCCCATTTCATGAATGATAAATTTGTTGAATTTTCTTACTTCCGATTTATGAGACGTCGAAAATACTAATTAATTTTTTTAGTCTTTGAAGGAGTGTATGTAAACTGCTTCAGTGCAATATTTTCAATCATGCTCATTTGTAAATCTTACGCATTCAAAATGTTCTTCATTCTTTATGAGTTTTAATTCTAAACTTAAGTATTTCATATCGAAAACAGATGTTTACCTTTTTACCTAGCAACGTTCACTTAATATTTTCTATCAAAGTTACTTGTTTTTAAACACGTCTTACACCCTTCATCTCTGTTACAAAAATATGTGGTTGTTATTTCTCATTGTGAGTACGTACAAGAATAACAACTTGTACAAGAATACCCAAGATCTCAAAATTGCATTTTTAAAAGTATTATCACTTTAACATTATTTTTAAATTACAATCCTTCACGTTACATAATAGGTTCAATATAAGGAGTATTTTAAAAGATGAAGGAAATAGACTTTCATGTGTTTGTATGTAAAATATCTTGCAAACGAAGCACGAACGACGCAAGAAACTATAAAACGCACAAAAACTAAAAAGCATGTAGGTCCATTTAGTAAGCATTAATATTATCATATTGAATGCAGTTTTTGTATACCATGACAAGCATGTAATTTATATTACCAGTATCTCATATTTGGGCAACATCCTTTGAAATGTTGTCTTATGAGTAATGGTGTAATTGCTGGTTCGAATCGTCAAAAGATGATGTTCATTTGAGGCAAATATGCAAACGACTTATTTTCCCTGCATGTACTTTCCTTTTCTTTGTCTCACACACGCCGTATGACCACACATGTTCACGTAAGCGTACTCATAAGATTCTTCGAAGATAGCTTTACTCCAGCGAGTACCAAAATTCAATAGCCTGGCCCGTTGCTCAACATCAATTGCTCTCAATGATGAAAAATAGACGCTCCGTTGTTTTTGCGCATAAATTAGAAAGTACGAATCTATTTGCACGAAGCGTGAGATAGCTGAGCAAGCAAAAGGAACAGCGGCCATGGGGACTCGGTAGAACAAAGAGAAGTGCGGGCGGCTGGCGCGCCCTGCCGCTGGCACTGCCTCGGGCGTCGCTCGCGTCGGAGACTCCAACGCGGGGGAAGCGACGAACCCTCGGGGCATGGGTCCGCGACGCGAATTAAGAATGACTCACAGCCACACTCTCGCAAGGAGACAGAGTTTTGAGGGTTCTGGAGAGCTACTTGTACCAAAGGCAATGAAAGCGTTGGATCGGGCTCTTCGCGTTCCGGAGGGCGCACGATCGAGTCGGAACGCGAGAGCACTTTTGAGCTGGGATTGAACTTCGTTGAAATCACAGTGACTCCGACGCAAGATAAACGGTGATCCCAGATAACACCGCTAAAAGTTACAAAATTAGCAAAGATTCATTCATCCAAAAGTTAATGCCTTTCCTTGCGATTTATTCCACAAATGCTAATGACATTTCTATTTTTATTCAATCTACTTACACCATTTAATTCTGTTATCCTTATAACTTCTATCCTATATTACGTTTTCCGATAAATTTATTAAAAAAAGAGGAAAGGTAACAAATGTAATTTAAAAAATAAAACTAGTGACTTGATTATCGAAAATTTGTGTATTTAGAAGTTAAATTGGGAGAAGAAGAAAAGGTGCAGTATACGCTGTTTGTAACGAGCGAGAAAGTTTGCAAATAGGAGAAAGTAAATCATGAATAGATGATATTTACAGACCAGGCGTTAGGTACATTGGCATTCATTTCTATGCAAGGGTATAAAATTTATCTTTTTAGTATGGTCAAAACTATATAAATGACATTTGGTGAATATGACGTACGTATGGAACACATGACCCAAATAGTGAAAATGTCTAACCTTGTGGGAAAGAAATGTCAACACCAATTAAAATTCAGTCGAAATTCGTGGTCTTAATTATTCATTCTTTTATGAAGCTATAGTCACTGATAGTTGTCATATTTAAAGTAAGTTGCCTGGATAAAATTATAACACAAACTTCATTATATTTTTAATTTAACGTTATTTGAGTAATTCAATTGCGATCTGTCTTTATGACTTTTGTAAACATTAGTGCAATAATTACTGAATATACAAACATTTTCAACAAAGTATTATTTTAGTTTCATTGGTTATTATTTGGTAAATGTGATCTTTTCAACCTGGAGAGCAGATGTGACCATTTTGTTTTAAATGTACTTCACTGACCAGCCTTTGGCATTAAATATGTAGTTTCTGTCTGTTCTGTACTGAGAGTTTTACAACAATCATGCCCGATGATCCAACTGAGATGCTTGGATTTGAAAGAGTAAGGTGTAATTAGTAGTGGGTGGTAGGATGATGGTGAACTCCTAAGAAATAGAGTTGTTAAGGAAAGAAAAGGTTTTAATAAAGGAGCTGTTGCTTGGTCACCTGATATCTGGGGAAGGTTTGTGGATTCTGGAGATGAGCGATAAGGCTCTCCCTAGTGGAGTGAATGATGCGTTTGCGGAATGTGGTAGTCTGTGGAAAGAGGGAGAGTATTGTTCGTGGAAGAATGATGGATGTAAGGTTGGCGAGGTATCTCTGACTTTGTAAGTCGCGTACCAATCAGGGTGCTATGGCTATTTTCCCGATAAATTTATTTTGATATGTTTGGATAAGATGGAGGTTGGATGGAAATGTTGTAGACCAAATTAGAAAGTTGGCCAAATGATGATTTTGTCTACGATGGATAACATTATTAGCTTTTTAGTGGGAATACTTTGATGAGTAAGGGGTAGCGATGAATAACTTTGCCACATGATTTTTGTCGGGCGTGATTGATATGGGATTTTTTAGATGAGTGAATCAATGGATGAACCTCGGAATGTTATGAGGGAGGCTGCCTGGGCATTGTTGGGTTCGAGGAAGTTAGCTGAGGTGGATGTTTTGGTTGACGAAATAAGAAGGTAATTGCTTGGTTCTTGGAAGGATTTAGGTGAATATGCCATTCTGGCGTAACAGGTTTCTAGGATCGAGAGGTTGTTTAGTATGTTGGAAACAACGATGTCAATGTCATGAGAATATAGTGAAAACATGAGATATGACATCAGCGGATAGGGACATTTCTGATAGAGTAGGTGGAGGAAAACCTGAGAGACACGCCAGAAATAAAATTGGCCTAAAACTCACCCTTGTGGTACGCCGGATTGTATAAGGGAGGATAATCTTTTAAGTTCATTTATTAACCTTCAATGTCAATATGCTCCAGGAAATACTCACTTTTTCTCACTTTCAGAAAATAGTGTATTTTTATCTTAGCTTAAAACTCTAGGAAAACGAAAAGTTATTAATAGTTTAAGAATATATTAACATATTCTGAAACCCATCAATTAAATGAAATGTAAATTATAAAGGTATGTTAACCTCCAAATAATGTATAAAAGTTGGAGAGAAATTTTATACTGAATATTTTTGTGAAAAATTAATTTTCAGATTCATTGTACACTAATAGTGATGATAAAGAAGGGCTCAGTAGGACAAGGGGCTATCGCACGTGAGCATAGTTCTGGGATAATGCCCACGAGATGTGGCTAGGGGCATCAATTGATGTCACTGCAATCTCTCTGACCGAGAGGTCCTAGTTTTGAGACCCGACGGTGGCAGGATTTTCGACCCTAGCTTGTCAGCTAGGTTGAATTCAGTCGCTGTCTGCAGGAAAATTCGAACGGCCAGCTTATCTGATCGGTAGTTTCCCGTGGTTTCTCAGATCAATACTAGGCGAATGCCGGATCAGTACCCTAACAGAAGGACTACGGACCGCGCGCGATCTTTGCTTTTTCTTGTTTGTCTTGGGCTTACCCTTTTCACACACTTACACTAACATGCACTACCACATATGCCGGGAGGCTGGTCGGAAGCTTAGAGCTTGTCCCGGCTGGAGCGGTTCCTGGCTGGTGGGAGATACCTGTTTGGGACCCACCCCCAGGTTGGCACCGGATCTCGCCATACAAAGGTGGAAGACCTCCGTCACTTCCCGAGCAAAAGCATGCCCTACACTTACGGGAATGATTACCATCGTAGATGACGTGCCCGGAATCACTAACAATCAATCAATCTCAGATTATGAGTGTTTTACATGAACTTCCCTCGCATAACTCAGTACATTTTCAAACATTTAAACTCAGTACATCTATACTCCATTCTGTATTTAAATAACATATTACATTAAAATAATAATATTTAAAGTTTTGTATAATAATAACACAATTTCGCAAAAAATGTGGCCTAGCCCATTGTTCTATTGAGCCGTTCAATTAGGTCAGTTTTTTAAAAATTTCCTCTGAATGACACGTGTTTGAAGAACCAACGAATCGTAAGTTTTCACTTCTCAGTGTGAACTTCCTTGAAGAACGTTGAATGGATTCCTCGAAAAGGAAAGAACAGCTCTTTCGAACTGCGTTAGTCAGTTGTCTTTCATATTGCAAGAGGCAAGGCCTGTCGTGAAATTGCATACAAATTTGAATAAGAAGAAAAGCAAGGCATATGATATAATCAAGCAATTTAAAAAAGAAAATAGGATTGAGTCTTACCGCCCAAGTGAACGATCTCATTAACATTCCCGAGCAAGAAGAGATCATCTTCGTCAGGAAGATTAAAAATAATCCCAAATTAAGTGCACCAAAAATTGCTGCAGAGGTGCGAAGAGAACTGGGGGGGAAAGTTCATCCAGAAACAATACGAGTGATTCTTAGGAAAACAGAATTCCATCGTCGCGTGGCTAGAAGAAAGCCTTTCATAAATAAGATATACAAGAGGAAAAGGTGGAGTTCGCTGGGGAACATATAAACAAGGGTAATCAATGGAATCGAGTAATATTTTCGGACGAGAGTAAATTCAATGTGTTTGGACCAGACGGAAAAAACATTGGTGTGAAGAAAGGCAAACAACCAGCTGCCAGAGAAGAATGTGCAGTCAACTGTGAAACACCGAGGGAGGAATACTCTTTTTGAGTGAGTGTACTTTATTTCACATTATTTATTTCATCTTTATTTTCTTCTAAAATTCTGCTCTGTGAAATCAATTTGTCAAGTGGCACGAATA